AAGTAATAAATTTTTTTTTTTTAAATAGACTCATTTATAACATTTTAGACATTTATAAATAGAATCATTTATAACATTAAATAAAACAATTTGTCAGAAACTCAAGTAGCTAAATTAGCCTATTATTTTGTTTGGTTGTCTAATGTTTTGTTTTCAGAATCATGGGCGAACCGTGATCTATTTCTAAAAATCAATTATCCAGAATCATAGTTTAAAAAATACACAGTCTAATATATCTGCATTTAACTAATACTGTTTCTAATATTAAAATGTTAATGTCCAGTTTTCACGTTCAGTGTGATCAACAAATTTCTTGTTGAATCCATAGACTGTAAAAACGATGGCCGACGTGTCTCCACTTCCTTTCACTACAAAAAAGTAAAGCTAAAGCATCCCAGATATGGCCCGAGTCTGCGCAATACTGATTGAGCTGGTACTGCGGTATTAAATGCTGCATTCCATTTACCTCAAAGTTAGATGTCAGAGCTGGTAATGACGACACAGTCAAGTGTCAAGAAGTCAGAAAACCAAGATGGACGTGTCCATTGTTAGCAATACCAGTTGAGTAAAAACACAAAAAGCAGTATTTTGCACAGATAACGCCATAGTATCATGTCCACAAATAGAGGTTGGATAGTACTGTGTGCACCACTGGGTTTATTGAGACACAGACGAACATAAGTGCTAATTAACAATATATTAGCAGCCATATTAGATTCTGAAATGTTTTGGCTTCACTTTTCAGCACATGTGAGACACACCTGGTTTAATGCAGATTACTGCATCCATAATAAATCACAAACAGTTTTAAGTGATTGCACAGATGAGACTTCTGCCTCGATTTTTTATTAATTGTTCTACTGTATACAAATATTCACACAAAAAAACAGCTCAGCTCAATCATCTCAACATTCATTTGTCCATGTCAGTCACTGTATAAATATATATACACATATAAACACACGTGTATATACATAAAACATTTTTTTTTTATCCTTCATGTGTATCAGCGTATACAATGCTGAGTGAGTGAGTGAGTGAGTTCTGAGACGCACCACTGTTGCGCTGTCCTCTCTGGCACTGGACAAAGGTCTTGCAATTCAAAAAAGTTGCAATCATTTTTGCCAAAACAGAATTGGTTTAGTGCCTCATTGTGGATGATTTGTATGAGTGGAGAGAGGTATAATGACCACAGTGATGGCAACGCCCTTGAAACAGGGCACTCAGTCCAAGAAAGAGGGATTTTGGGTCAAAATCTGCATATCATATACATTTCTCCTCAGAAAAAAATAAAAATAAAAACTCTTTCCTCAGCTACCCAAAAGAAATCGCATTACTACAATTGAATAACTTCTAATAAACATATTCATGATGAAAAAATAAAATAAAATAAAAATATTTCAGAGAATAAATGTGGTAAGAGGCGTTCTAAATCCATCAAATTATTATTTTTGTAATTTTTTCTGCCTCTGATGTCAATTTTCTGCTTTTTAATGCATCTTAACAAATATTCTCCTTGATCTAACTAACATAACTTACTCTTATGCCACCAAAACCACCAGTAGTGCAACAACCTTTAGCAGGATAATTCAGTAGCGCTTTCCACACAGCAGTTAGTCAAGATGCCTTATAAACACCACACCCGAACATGTCTTCAAAACACTTCAAAAGGTCCGCTGTGAATTTTACACAGCTTGGGTTTTGTGTTTGTGTGTGTGTCAATGTGTATGTGTGTTTTATTTCTTTTCTTTTTTTAGATTTCGTTTTTTGTTTGTTTGTTTTTATTTTTTACGAATGCACCAAAACAATATGCTGGCATCATTCTAGTACTGTAAAATTGTGTTTTAAAACAAAAATTAAAAGTGTAATAATAATTGAAATATAGTGCTTACGGAATTATTTAGCACATTTTAAAACTGAAAAGAGCAATCTGTATTAATTTACTGAGCCATTACATTGTGTTCATTATTCCACTATGTAGGCATTCTGACATGCTGCTTTATGTTAAGTGTTACTCCTTTTCTTTTCTTTTTTCTTCCTTAAAAAAATAATGTCAAGTACAGGAGCTCTGTGGCAGTAAACAGAAGTGACAAAACTGAAAGCCCAGATTTCACCCTGGGCCCTTAAGAGGAAGTGAAAGGACTTTTTATGATATTCACACTATAGGGAAAACTCAACCTTACTAACTAAATATTAAAACCTAAGCTTGTGATGATGTCAAAGGCAGAGATATCTCAAACAACCAGCTGCCGTTCAAACTCTTGTGACTTCAAATGTGAGGGGAAAAAAAAAAAGGAATATTTTGTCATTGTTTACTCACCTTTTTTTTTTTTTTTTTAAGAATTGTTATATAGGTCTTGCCATTAAAACCACATTTCATGGTGACCATGGACTGTTTAAAAAAAAAAAAAAAAAAGAAAATGTAAAAGAAATGTCGGTCAAGTCTGACGTGATGAAAACAACTTAGTAATATAATTACAGTAATCTACAAGAAGGGCAGATTGTTTTTTTTATAATTCATTTTGTCAGCAAGTCTTTATGAAATGACAAACCATGATGCCTTGTAGTTTGATTTTGCCAATGGCCACATACACTGACTGTGGAGTATCAGGAGTGGCAACTGCATTTATAAAAGTTTAGTTCACCCAAAAATGAAAATTCTGTAATTAATTACTCACCCTCACGTCGTTCCAAACCCGTAAGACCTTCGTTCATCTTCAGAACACAAATTAAGATATTTTTGATGCAATCTGAGAGCTCTCGGACCCTCCATAGACAGCAACACAACTGTAATGTTCTCAGGTCCAGAAGCATAGCAAGGAAATCGGTAAAATACCAAAATTCAACCGTAATTTTACGAAGCTACATGAATACATTTTGTGCACCAAGAAACCAAAAATAACAACTTTATTCAACAACTCTTCTCCTCCTCATCCAGTCTCCTGCAACGCACTGCCATTGTGGACAGAATATCGTGACGCATGCGCGCGCTTCTGCTTCGGTGCGGAAGCAAGCGCATGCGTCGTGATACTTTCTCCATAATGGTGGCGCACCACAGCAGACGGGATGAGGAGTATATACAGCAGAAATCGCTGCAGCCATTATTGCATTACAGTGGGTGGAAGAGGTCAGACCTGATAGGGTGGTATTATGCACAGACTCCTTAGCTGTCATAAAAAGCATACAGTCAATGGCATCTGTCAGAGAAGACTTACTTATAGAGCTTCATCACAGTTTGTTAAAGGGGTGGTTCACTGTTTTTTTTTCTAGGCTTGATTGTGTTTATGGGGTGCAGTCTAACATGTGTTAATGCTTAATTAAAAAAAAAAAACGCATTATTTTTCACATATTTGACCTTTATTCCACACCGCTCTGTCCCTTCTCTGAGAAAAGGGCTGATCTTTTCCTGTTTTAAAAGACGATATCTCCGTTTGGATTGAACTTTCAGCTTGGTAACTTTGCAGATATTGTCTATGCTCAAACAGCAACATTACACACGAACTAACGTTAAAAAAAGTGAAATCGCAATCAACCACCCCTTTAAGATTACATCAGGGTGGTATAGATGTTCGTTTTTACCAGCGCATGAGGGAGTGAAAGGAAACGAGAATGCAGACAAACTAGCAAAAGAGGCAGTACAAAAGGAAATAACAGTTCCAATTCCACTCTGGAAAGGAGAAGGAAAAGCAGTAGTTAAGAAGAAAGGTATTGAAATATGGCAGAAATGGTGGGAGGAAGACAGGAAAGGAAAGGGATATTTTAAAATACAAAAGTCTGTCAGTATTAAAAATTATAGAGAAAGGACCAGGCGGGAAGAAATTATAATGACAAGACTGAGAGTGGATCAGACAGGATTGAATGGCACCTTGTTTTTAATGGGGAAAAGGAATAGTGAAAACTGTGGGGTTAAAGAAAATGCTGAACATATCATACTGCACTGTATATTATATGAGGTGGAAAGACGGGTTTTTCAAGATAGGGTTCGGGAGGCAGGACGGAATCTGATGGGGATACTGGGAACAGAAGGAGAGGGAGAGGGCATAAGAGTTAAATGGGAGGCATTATTTAAATTTATTAAAGATGCAGGGTTGACGAATAGAATATGAAAACACTTTAAATGACATAATGTTGCACACTCCTGTACAGTAGGTGGCGGTATGCACCTAAAAGTTGTTTGCAATCCGCCATTAACTAAGAGAAGAAGACGGGATGAGGAGGAGAAGAGTTGTTGAATAAAGTTATTTTTGTTTTCTTTGCACACAAAAAGTATTTGTGTAGCTTCGTAAAATTACAGTTGAACCCCTGATGTCACATGGACTATTTTACCAATGTCCTTGCTACATTTCTGGACCTGACAACATTACAGTTGTAATTACTGTATTGCATCAAAAAATATCTTAATTTGTGTTCTGAAGATAAACGAAGGACTTGCATGTTTGGAACGACATAAAGGTAAGTAATTAATGACAGAATTTTCATTTTTGGGTGAACTATCCCTTTAAATTCGGGAGCAAATCCCCTAAATGACAGATTCGTATTCGTATGGAACAGATCTCACTCTTGAAATTGCATTTACTGACACCATGGTAACCATAACAACGTTTTGTCATCTTGCGCATTTGGTATCCTCTATTTTTGACCAAAGTAATATTACAGCAACCAAAGACCGTTATATTCAGTGATTTTAACTAAACCACCGTCAACAGAGCCATGTGTTTTATTTATGTTTGGAAGTCTGCTTTGCAGAGGGCGCTCTTGAAGGGTTGCCAGGTCCCCATATATTATAGCAAAGTTTATTAAGCCTCTTTGGCCTTATTGTTTGGGCTCAGCTCATAAATGATCCAGTTTATTAAGTTAATAAAAGATGCAGGTGCAAGTCGCTATATTTTGGAATGTGGCTTATTTCCAAGATAATGCGTTTGGATGTAAGTTTAATATGGGCTTGTTCTTATTTGTTTTTGTTGTTGTTGTTATTTGTTTAGTTTTTTCTAGCAAGATCTGGCAACACTAAGGAGTCAAAACAGTTGTAAATGTGGTTGTCACTACCTGCATTTTTCAGGATTCAATTTGGTTGTAAAACGCAGTTGTAACTCTTGTAAATTACTAGTGTGTGTACAGAACAGGATTAAACACTAAAACGTGAACTGACAATCTAACTAGGTGACCAATGTGAAGCTGAAAAAAAAAACAGATGCAGTGCAAGTCAAACATCCATCTGAAGCATGTATGTAGGCCAACTTTAAAAACAAAGCGCAGATGGATAGAATACTTGGAAAATAGCACATGAGTAGTATAAGCTACTATTATGTTGCTTTTTTGTGTTTAACAGCCCTTGGTCACTATGAACCTTGGTTGTATGGCAAGAACTATGTAACAGTTCTTCAAAAAATTATTTTGCGTAAAAAACTACAGCATACAGGTTAGGGAAAGTAAATGATGACAGAATTTTCACTTGTGGGTGAACCCTCCCTTTAAGACATATTTCCAGGAAGTCAATTTTTTTTAAGAATTTGGAGATTTGGCGAATTTTGGACTGTTCTGTTTATTCTGTTTTGGTATATTTCCTGATCCCTTCCTGGTGACATCATTAGGGTGCACATTATAGAAAACAGAGACTTAACAGAAGACAGTGAAGAGGCCATGTTCTGCAAAATGTTAACATGACATTTTCTGGCCTTTAAAGGCATATGTGTGAGGCTAAAAAATCACCATAAAAAGGCTTCCAACCCAGGACTCTAGCCAGATGAAGCTACATTCCATTTAAATAAAAAAAGGACAAAGAAACTGAAAACTGTTTTGGCTTCTGGTTGACAGCATCACCCTCATTTATTTTGTTTTAAGGCTTCTTTTTCTCTCCATTTCTTCCTCTTCTCTACTGTTCCTCACAGCTTTTTGCTTTTCTTGAACAAGCTCTTGATCTTGGAGCGTTTTTTCTCTCCGTTATCGCAAGAGTCCTGGGAGGAGGTGGGTTGGAGTTGCTTGGGCTCCTTGATAGATTTGCTTTCTATGTCGAGTGAGCTAATGGAGGGGTATTGACCCTCTGGAGGCGTCCCACCAGCAGGCAGCTGCCCCATGCTGTATGACTTTTCCAGAATGCCATTATAGGCCATAGCTTTGGTGCCAGGGTGAAAGGTTAAACTTTGAGATTCTGGGAGGACGGAAGAGTGGGTAAGGTCAGGAGAGCCCTTGTGAAATGAAGAGGAGTCAAGTGGAGATGAAGGGGAGGATGTGGGAGGAGGTAAGGTCTCCATGGTGACAGTCTGGGCCTCCTGCACCAGGAGAAGAAGTTCCTCGCGAGAGATTTTACGTGGTGGGGTATCCGTCCCCGTAACACATGTACTTTGAACAGAGGGACCAGAGAACTGCTTCCTGCCCAAAGAGGAACTGAGAGAATCTGAATCTGAGTATGTGTCCTGAGGATCTCTGTGTGACAGAAACATTAAAAAACACAAAACGCATAAAAATTATTAATCAAGAAGATACACACGATCAGTCAAATGTTTGAAATAATGAAGATTTTTTAAACTGCTCACCAAAGCGGCATTTATTTGATCAAAAATACAGTAAAACGTTAATATTTTTAAATATTATTGCAATTTAAAAAACTGTTTTAAAATGTAATTTATTCCTGTGATGGCAAAGCTGAATTTTCAGCAGCCATTGGTCATTCTAAATCATTTTTAATATGCCGATTTGGTGCTCAAGAAACTTTTCCTATTATTATAAATATTGAAGACAGTTTTCACTGCCTTATATTTTGTGGAAACTGTGATGCGCTCTCATTCAAAAGTTTGGCTTAAGTACTTTTATCATATAGAAATTCATGGTTTTATTCAGCAAGACCGAATCAGCATTCAATTGATCAAATTTGACAGTAAAAACATTTATAATGTTATTTCTATTCCATAGAAATGCTGTCCACTGAACTTTCTATTTATCTACAAACTACGAAAAAAAGGCATCGCAATTTCCACAAAAAATATTAAGTAGCATAAACTGTTTCCAACGCTGATAATAGTAAGATCCATTATTAATAATTGAACACCAATAATAAGTGACAATAACTGAGCACCAAATCAGCATATTAAAGTGATTTCTGAAGGATCATGTGACACTGAAGACTGGAGTAATGGCTTGCCATCACAGAAATAAATTGAATTTTAAAATATATTCAAGTAGAAAACGGTTATTTTAAATTTCAATAGCATTTAACAATATAACTTTTTTACTGTATTTTTGATATATAAATAAACCTTGGTGAGTTTAAGTGACTTTCAAAAACATTTAAAAAACATTAATCATCATCGAACTTGTGACTGAAACACATTCATAGAAATGAATCACAAATACATGTGATGTTATAAATTAACAAATTACCATGTACAGAATCTTAAATAAATTAATATATACAAAGAAAAGCTGTAGATGACGTACCCCTTCCTTTCTACAGTGAAGAAGATGTGATCATCGTCTCCGTCGGGTCTGTAAGCCAGTGGGGCCGAGGCCATAGACAACAGATCAGGGTCAGGAGAAAGGGACGAGGGTTGAGACATAAGACTTCTGCGAGAACGACAAACACTGCTGTTGCGGGTCAGAGGAGGTCGAATCAAAGGAGCTGTGTAGAAAAGACAAATCTTTATGCACTTACGCATGGTAGGTAAGACTTTAGTTTATGGACCAATTCTCATGATTAACTAGTTTCTTAATTCACTCTTCGCCGAGAGTTTGCTTGATAGGCAATCTGACCAATCATAACGCCGAATCTGCCTTTTTTTCTGACAAATAAACCAGACAGGAGAGCAAATGAACATTGGTGGACTTGAACTTGAAAAATCCCGTGTATGGATGTCTTTCCTTGATTGAAACAAGACACCTTTTGATATTCATTCATGTTTATTCCGTGCTTTAACTAGTAAAGAGGAAAAGATGATCGGTTCATGCGCCACTTGAACTGAGGCGCTACAGCAATCTGTCACAACACATTAAAGAGCCACAAAATTGTCTTTTTTGTGTGAATTTCTTAATATAAAAATAAAATTTGAAAACTGAGACTTTTGGCTCTTTTCCACTGCATGGTACGGCACGGTACGGCTCGGTACGGTGTGTGACGTTAGAGAGCAATTTAGGCATCACAAGCCTATAATGTACAATATAAAAAAAAAGTGTATCCCTGCAATGTTTTTAAATGCATCTGAATGGATTCGACAGAAAAGTTCTTGCACATTATTAAGACATACAGTACATTAGTTAAAAAATTAAGTAATTTAAAGTCAAATTTTCACACCATTTCTCACAATCTTGGGCTTAAAGAGAGGATCTTACAGGTGAACTGTGGAATGATTGGTGGCATGTCCTCATCGAGATCGTCCACCCCGCCAGCGATTGGGTAGGGTGGCACCGACATCCGCGGCATGACCACCCAGCTGTGGTCGGCGTACAGGGAGGCGGTGAGGCTGGGCAGCCCAGAGTTATTAACCACTGGAAAGCCACATAACTTCTCTATTTGCTGCCAGCGGTGAAGACGTTCACGCAAACAGGCTGTGACCTCTGACAGAGCTTTTCTAAAAAGAAAAAGAAAAGCAAAAACACTAATAAGCTTTCATTTAATGTGGGTAACCATTAGCGATTGCATGTGAATTATGTATGCTTACTTAGCCTCAAGTATTTTGTGGTCTACTTCATCCAGCGATGAGCTGTGTGCAACATGGAGGGTACCAAACACAGAGCTCCTCTTCTTCTTGATCTTTTCTGCCTGAAATTTACACAACATGAACACAGAAGCACACAAGTAGAAAAAAACACTAATAAGCTTTCATTTAATGTGGGTAACCATTAGCGATTGCTTGTGAATTATGTGTGCTTACTTAGCCTCAAGTATTTTGTGGTCTACTTCATCCAGCGATGAGCTGTGTGCAACATGGAGGGTACCAAACACAGAGCTCCTCTTCTTCTTGATCTTTTCTGCCTGAAATTTACACAACATGAACACAGAAGCACACAAGTAATGAAAACACAATGATGCTGCATGGAAATGCACCAGTCAGCTCATATGTGATCTGCACATTTGTTGGTTGTACTGAACACAAGCTCATCTCTCGTGCTGCAGTGACTGCTAATTGTTTAGTTTAACTGCTGATGACTCATTCCAGATGCAGATAACAAACGGCAAAACAAACCATGTAGTTAAAAAGTCATTTAACCACATCATTAGAAATCTAAATTAACAGGGGAAAGTTTCAGCTTCATTTTTGTTAGTCACTGAGAGAGAAAGTGAACGAGATGTTTAGGTAGATTTAAACTGAAAATTAAACTTCACTTTTAATGTATAATAGTTGATGCTATGTAAATATTTTCCAAACTATTTGGGCTCCAACTTTAAAATCTGTTGGTAAAAAAGCATTTTCTGCCCTGGCAGGAAGTGTAAACAATAAATCACTCACCTCGTCCTTTGCGACCGTGAGCTGCAGCTCGGCATTCTGTTTTTTAATGTTGTAGTACTGCACTTCCACCTCATGTGTGAGCTGAAGCCACATCTGCAGGGCTTCTGGCACAGACCAATCTGACTGCATCTCCTTCTCTGCTCTCTTCAGTGCCATTCGCACCTGGAAATAGCCAACAAACACAAACACTCTTTGGAACTTGTAATTTATTACTTGTAATGTGGAAGGACAGAAATCACAACTTGAGGAACGATGCATCCATCTAGTGGTGTTTTTACAGAATAGGGCCGTAGTGATGAAAGGCAATAGAAATGCAATGATAAACTGCAGGAATGAATACATTTTGGATAAAAGTAATTAATTACATTTTTTAATGTCTTGATTACTTAATTTTAGGGAATTAATTATTATTAATTCATTCTCATTATATTAATGCTTCTGTTCTGTTTTGAGTCTTAGAGACCCCAAAGTCATTTTAATAGCTTGAGAAAATATATTTAACATTATCATTTTGCTACATAAAATGGTCTATTATTGGTCAGTTATTATGATAGAATTAATTTTAGATTCACACGCTTCATATATGCATCATGTAAAGAAAATAACTGGGATTGGTTGTTTTACATGTCAGATTGCTTACTGTGTAGTCAAAAGTCTGGCTTCCCTTACAAAAACAAGTATACTTCAAGTATAAAAGTATATTGTCCAAGTATACTTTATTTAGGATGTACACTAATATCAATGAACTAGTAGTATACTTGTATATCCTTAACTTTTTGTTTTATCTGTTAAAAAAAAAAAGATTTATTTGTGGCATTTTGCCTTTATTTAGATAGGACAGTGTAATGACAGGAATCGAATTGGGAGAGAGAGAGGGGGGCGGGATCGGGAAAGGTCCACGAGCTGGGATTCGAACTCGGGACGCCCACAGCACAACAGCGCTGTATGTCGGTGCGCTGCCTGCAAGGTTATCACCGCCGTTTGTTTAATCTTTTAATGGATTTTAATAAACTGTTAATGAATTTACAATTTAGAAATTGAATAAAAATAGTTTTATAGAATTTTGTTTGTCAGTGTTACTGACTTATGGATATGTTTTTTCAATGCATACTTTTATCTAAATTACGACCTATTCTCTCAATGTCAAATGCAGAAATGTTAATCCATGCGTTTATGACCTCAAGGTTAGATTATTGTAATGCTTTATTGGGTGGTTGTTCTGCACGCTTAATAAACAAACTCCAGCTGGTCCAAAATGCAGCAGCTAGAGTTCTTACTAGAACGTACACAAGTCAGCAAAATATATAAAACTGTTCTAGTGGTTTTTGGATATTTTAATAAAAAAATCTTACATATTGTGCCTTTAAGGCCGATTCACACCGAGGAAGTATAACAATAACAAGTCCACACCTCAACTATGACCATAACAGCACAGAGGAACGATAGTTCTGGAGTCACTTTCACAAAGATTTTTCTAGCTGAAGGACAATAAATATATTGAGAGCCAATCAGAATCCATTTAGCTTTAAAGAGCTTGGGCATGTGAAGGGGCAGATGACATAACCGCAGCGCAGGCTTACACTTGAAGCATAATATATTTAGAATACTTAGCAAAATATACTTTTCTGAATACTTGTTCAGTATAAGCCAAGTAGACTTAAAGCATACTCTCTTATTTTTAGTTTAAAAAAAGAATACCAGTAGCACACTTTACACAACAGAACATCTTATTTGTAAGGGTTATCACACTAAAGACTAACTAACTCTATTTGATATATACTGGTTCCTACCTGCACTAGTTCCTCCTCTGCATACTTGAGTCTGCTGAGTTCACATTCAGCCCCCTCTCGCAGCTCTCGCAGTCTGCTGGCTTCTCTCTTTGCTCCGTTGATCTCGTCACGCATCTTCTGCTCCAGGTTCTGCTTCTCCACCGCCACCGTCCGGTTCTCCTCCTGAGCCTTTTGCAACCTGATGAAACCACAGAGAAATTTAAGTCACATCTGAAATCTGGTGTGTTGCAATTTGAAATAATAATAATAATAATAATAAAACTCTTTCATAATTTGTTCACCCTCATGTTGTTCCAAACCTAAATGAACAAATATCATCTCAACTCTTTTCCATATAATGAAAGTGAAAGGGCTATAGACTGCCAAGCTCAAGAAAAAAACAAAAGATGTCATATAACATTATGAATGTAATGCCATACTTCAATGACAAGTACTCTCATTGTACTGACGTCACAATGTCATATGGATGTGGATGAAGACGAAAAAAGTCTGTTTTTCACATACAGCTATCTTGCGGCTTCAGAAATTTTAGCGTGAGAGTTGCACGGCCTTTTTGACCTATTGGAGCTAGTCTCTCCTTTTGTGTACCACAGAGAAAGTCGTGCAGATCTGGAACGGCATGAGGGTGAGTAAATGATGACCTCTTCCCTCGAGGGTACAGAATATCTCTCTCACTGTCTGTTATTTGCTTTCTCTCTCACCGGCTCTGTAGCTCTATCAGGCTCTGTTCAGCATGCTGTAGACTCTCCAGATCTTTCATCATCTTGGAGACGTGAATTTTAGACGACTTGTTCTGTATGTATGCAAACCAGCAGCCGCCCACACCAATGATGATTGAAATCATCAAAACAAAGTCCTTCAGCCAGTGATGGTGAGGACCTAGAGGAAGAAGAGAGAAAAAGAGAGCATGTATACCCACTAAACAAGCAAATATTACAATAAAATAAATACTTCTATACATAGCTTTGTGTTAGAAAGTGTCCAAACTTTAGTGATTTCAGTGAGCTGTTAAATGCTGCAACCAGATTCTGGTTGTCAATGAGTCATTTGGACCCACTTTGAGAATGGATTAACCGATTCATTGAAAAGATCTGACTCAAAACGTACAATTAATTAACGGATTATTTCACTGTTTCTCTCATGAAAGTGCCAGTTTTGGTCTGTTTCTCACACTTCTTTGAATTTCGCTCATACACTACACAGTTCAAAAATATAACCTTTTTAAAAGTTTTTGAAAGAAGTGTCTAATATGTTTATGAAGACTTATTAAAATTACAGTAAAAATGGTAATATTATGAAATATTGAGTATTGTGAATTTAAAACAACTGTTTTCTATTTTAATATAGAAGCTTAATTTTCAGCAGCCATTATTCCAGTCTTCAGTGTCTCATGATCCTTCAGAAATCATTCTGATATGCTATTATTATTATTACTATTACTATTATCTTGAAAACAGTTATGTTGCTTAATATTTTTGGAGAAACCATGATACATTTTTTCACCATCTTTTGGCTGAATACAAAGTTCAAAGAACATAATTTACTTATTTACAATGATCAATTTAATGTGTCCTTGCTGAATATTATTCTTAAAATTGTACTGACACCAAACTTTTGAATGGTAATGCAGTCATATTGACTACTTATGACACTTTTGTGTTACTACTGCATTCTTTTTGTACCTTAAAAGCTTCATATCTCAATCATTTTAACAGCACTGAAAAGAGCGACATTATTTGTGACGTACAGTATTATTTGTGTTCCAAAGAAGCAAGGTCATATGGGTTTGAAACAATGTAAATTTTGGGCTAAACTTTCCCTTTACATAAACAATTAAACAAGCCTTATTCCAGCTTAGGTGAATACACTTACGTAGTGGATGTCCGAAGAGCACTGCATCTAACGCTTTTAGATTTAATTTCTGTTTATGTCGTTGGTCTAATATCTTTAGCTGCATTGACATAAATGATGGTTCATTGGCCGCTATTCTGTAATGGAAAGGAAAAACACAGCAGGTCAGGGGGTAAGAATAAACCAAGATCACACTAAATCAGCCAGTTTCAGGTCAGTTTGGGATTTCAAACTTTACTTGGAAATGTTAGAGCTTCCAATAAATCTATCTGAAATGTCTATGAAAATCTTGGGGGTGAAAAACTAATTGCTTTAAAGGTACAATAGGAGATCTTGGAAAATGCTAACTTTAGCCTGATAGCACTGAAAGCGAACGTCCCACCCTTCCTGCAATCGCCGTCCAAAGCCACGCCCCCTGAACGCATTTACACTCACAGACCAGAGACAACATTACTACAATAGGCTACACCAGGTTCCCAATTCCAGCCCATGTTCCGAAGTGAAGTAAAAACAAAAAATGTTTCTGAAGACAATCACCTATTGCTCCTTTAACTGCAAAACACAGTTTATGTGACTATGTGTGTGTGCATGAATGGCAAGTTCAAGCATCTAAGGACTAATTTTAAGTAGTGAGTACTAGATGACTGAAAGATCACATGTGCTGCCACACACATACTAAGCATAGCTGCAGGTGAAAGGTGATCTGCTGCTGTGACATCATTTCATGAGTCATGGAGAAGTGGCCCTGAGGGGAAACTCAACACCCTAAACCTTTCTTTACCCCCAATGCTCATACACATCTTTACTGTCTGTGTACTGACACATCATCACCACTAGAGGGAAGCACTGCTGTTAAAAATTCACAACTGTTGATTTTTTTTTTTACCCTATTCGGTTCTAACACACTTTAACATAAGTGTGGCATAAAAAATATTGCATAAATGAAAAAAGAATGTTTGTGTGAGGCTGTGATAGGTTTAGGAGCAGGAGTATTATAACTAAGTATAAAAACAATGCAAGTCAATGGAAAGTCCATGATGAACAGACAAAAGTGTGTGTATTTACCGAGGTAGCATGTTGCCGTCTACTTTAAACTCTCTGAAGTTTTTTTCGTACTGAGGAAGCTCCACTGACTCTTTCAGCCACTGAACTGCATCCTCCAGTGTCCAGTTGTGCACTGAGAAAGAGAGAAAAAGACTCAAATGAGGGGGGCGAGAAGAAACCTACCAAAAAAAGAATATTAACTTACTTAAATGACAAATTTGTAATTCTTTAACATGTTCTGAACACAAAACTCCAAAAAAACAACAACAGAAAAACAAAAAATATTTATGAGCTCAATGTTCAGTATTCTTTTAATATTTGGCCTTTGGTCAGTGTGTGTACATCAGTAAAAACACAGCAGGGTTTGATTGTGCACACTGAAAAAAAATCACAATTTAATTAAAACTTGAAAAAAATAAAAATAAATCAGGAAGAATGGAGAAAAATATTCAGATTCTGCATTTTTCTATGTAACTTTTGTGACATTGATCAAGTGACCTTGTACAGAAGGTCAGGCGTTATTCCATTGAAGCTTAAGATGCTCTTTGGATCATCGCCACGTTTCACACACACACACACAAAAAAAACTTTAGTCAGGAGAGCCTTAGTCCAGGTCATATCATGGTTTCAATTTCTATCTGACTAGATCTTAAAGCATTGGAAAAAACGACTCATTAGACTTAGATGTTAGGACCCCACTGTACAGTATATTCACCACCACTGTCTGTCGTGATTTTGCCATGTGATCAGACATGTTCCTAGATCAACATCTTTTACTGATCCTGGCACAACATTACTATCCAAAAACACAGACCGATCTCTAACCCTAACCATAATTTATCCCTAAAATTAGAGAGAAATGATAGCCCCAGTGTCTTCAACAGAGCCTGATGCTGTAAGATGACATCACTCCATAATAACACACCATCTTTGTTTAGAGATGTCTGTGTGAGCTTGTTCAATTTAGTGACATCACTCCATTCAGACATCTAATGACATCACTACTAGGAAAACCCAAGACCAAGCACAAATTAAATTCCTGGAGATTGTGTTGAATGTGCTCCATTAAATACTTCACAAATAAAAGATACTTCACCTTATTTCATAATTATGATTTTTTTTTAAGGTTAATGAACTTAACTGATAAATAACAAAAGGTATAGTTACGCATAAATTAATAATAGCTAGCCAATATATACGCACACCTTTCATCAACTGAATTTTATATTTATGGGGCAGGTTGGGATGTAAATAAGTTAAAAAACAGACCTTTCTTGTATTGACTTGACTAGTTTGGGACACATCCTGCTCAGTATTTTCAAATTATTCCATGTTTCTGTTTTTTGCTCTCACATGTAAATAACATGAAATTTTCCTGCCCATTGATGCCTGCAAAATATATCTACCACAGTATAAACAGTACAGCAGAATCTCTACAAGTGAACAACATTTTTTCTGTCTCACAGTGCTGTACACGCCACCCAGCCCACGTTGTCTCTGTCCATCTTTCTTTACCTTCTGATATTTTCCAGCCCCTCCACAGCTCCTCCACCGTGATGTGCTGGTCCTCTCGGTGAAGATTACTGTGTTTATTGGTCTGGTGCTGCTTCATGTCCTCTATGATAAACTGCAGAAGAACAACAGGATAACATTACTGCTCAGACCACAGGAAAATGACTTCTTAAGAAGTAGTTCATGCCATATCATGTTTTATTTGCCTTCGGGTTACAGGCAACTCTATCAGAGGGTTTACTGGTTTCAAAAATACCTTTTAATATAATGCAAATATTTATAATGCAAAAAGGACACTAGAGAAACATCACATTTGAATGTAATATCTGTCGCCTTACATGACATTAATTCATTCTGCAGATGCTTTTAACCAAAAAACTAACAAATGACGAAAAACAAAAGTGATTAATCATAATCAGACAACAACATTTGTAGAGCCACAATGCAATTTCAAAAGATGACCAGAAAAATACATAACTAGAGCAGAGTTTTATTGCACAATAAAGCTATTCGAATATGACAAGCATACTATATAAGCGTGAAGCTCTCTGTGGTCAGGTCTGTGTATCTCTCTTGTGGTTCTGCATATTTGTGTGCTGCACATACATGATGAAAAATGTCATTTTGTTAAACAGCGTTTTTTTTTGTCCCTTCTGTTTATGAATTATGTTGCTATGCTCATACTCATATCCAACAAATGAGGGACAAGACATCTTTAAAGTCTCACTCACACACACACATTCAGGAATCTGCTGTGTCCTGAAAGAGGACACCAACTTTCAGTGGCTGTAAGAAGGAGAAATTCTTGGGCCTCTTCTCGAAACACTTCTTGAGCCCAGGAGCACCTGCCATCACCAGAAACAATCCTCAAAACATACGTCACATCCTCACTAAAGTCAAAGAGAGCTGAGTAGCAAAAAACAGAGAAGTAAAAAGAGAAAATAAACAGTATCTTCACTTTCAATCTTGAGTTTGAAGGAAATGGTGAGGGCCACTAGTGACATCTGTATATGTTTACTATGGACAAACCAAAAGACTTACTACCTCTTGTGTAGTGGATGTTACTATTATTTTAACAGGCTAATGGCAACTTTTTGTATTTTTTATACAATTATTAACTTGTTTACTTCCAGCTGCAATAAACTGTAAAAAATAACTTAGGTAGTAAGTGATCCATGCAGTGTATGTCAGCAGTAAATTAAACAGAGAGGTGCATTGTGGGATCACTTTTGAGTAGTGTCAGTTTGCATAAAAGAAGGAAACTTCCACTTCACCGGATGAGTGCGTCTGAGAGAATAAAGAGGACATGTGAAACCGTCATTCAAACCTCAAAAACATCAACAAACACACACACAAACAAACAAACACACACACCTCATAACATAACTTCTGAACTATTCAAAAAGAGTTAATGTTCAAGTCAGTGTTCGGATAACATTAGTTCCCTATCTGTCGGTCACTTTGAGTTATGTCGATGACGACATTAGGGGTCTTACTTGGCAGCCCGAATCCTCTCTGATTAAGAGAAAACGCCAAGGAAATTTGGCTAGTGGATTTTGCATACCTGAGCCACTCCCCGTGCATACGGGTATAAATAGGCGACAGGTGCTTCCACTCATCAGATTTTTGCTTCTGAGCCGAGTGAATGAACACAGTTCGAGATTCACCAGGCGAATTCTCTCTGCTGCTGGAAGAAGAGGCTGTTCTGGGTGGCGTTACGGCACAGTCAGCGGCATCCCTGTTAATTCAGCGATTCCCCTGGGTGCTTCATCTAGAAGAGCACTTTCTGATCACGGACGGCTCGCGTCTTTTTAAAGACGCCGTTTCGTCCGTGTCCTCTTGGTTGCGGTCATTTCCTGTCCTCTGTCGAGAACCACGATCATTGTCTTCGGTGTCTGGGCATCCAGCACGCTGAAGCTGCGTTCATGGATGGTTCATGCGTTCACTGTGAGAGTGTGACCATGGCAGCGCTGCGTTCGCGCCTCTCTCTCCTCACAGGGATGGGAGGGGCTCCCTCTGTCACTACCTGCACTGGCTTCTCTGCCACGAGCAGAGAACCATCGGCTAGTCCTCTGGGCGATCTGAAGTTTGCAGTGAGAGCCTTTTCGCTGGGCCAGTCCCCACGGACCTCTCACCCCTCCCGCAGGAGCTGTTCTGTGCGGCTCCCCGGTGATTCTGCTGTGCCGTCTCACGGCGTGCCCAGCATTTAATTCGGTGTGGCGATAGAGGATCAGATGTCGATCGCAGCATCGGGGGATGGGCGATCATCTTCTGAGGATGAAGATTCGGCGGGGCTGCCCCCCCCCGGGTGTTGTCGCCACTGCCGAATCAGACCCAGAGTGACGGCCATGCTTTCCCGGGTTGCTGTGACCATTGGGCTGGAGACCTGCACACCTACCAGTCCCGAGCCCTTGCGGTGAGATGATTGGTTTCTCGGCACAGGTCGTGGCTCGCGACCATGGCCTGCCCCGGTTCCTTTCTTCCCGGAGGTGCATGAGGAGCTGATGAAGTCATGGACGACCCCGTTTTTTGGCCCGGAAGCCGCTCGTCCACCTCCTCACTACCCTTGATGGTGGGGTGGCTAGGGGGTACGTTGACATTCCCCAGGTGGAGAGTGCGTTGTGGTGCACCTGTGCCTGCAAAATACCGCCACTTGGAGGAATCGTCCTCGTTTCCTGTCCAAAGCCTGTAAGCTGACAGCGGCTCTCACCGTCAAAGCTTACAGTGCTGCGGGCCAAGCAACATCTGCCCTGCATGCCATGGCGATCCTGCAGGTCCACCAAGCCAAGGCACTCAAACAAATGCTCGAGGGTAGTACCGACCCGGGGTTGATGCAGGAGCTGCACTTGGCGACCGACTTCGCTCTCCGGGCGACGAAGGTCACGGCGCGGTCCACACTTGTGGCCCAAGAGCGCCATCTATGGCTCAGCCTTGCTGAGATGAGTGACGTCAACAAAGTGCACTTTCTTAACACTCCTATCTCCCAGGCTGGGCTATTCGGCGACGCTGTCGAGAACTTCGCCCAGCAGTTCTCGGCAGTACAGAGGCAGACTGAGGCTATCCAGCACATCCAGCCCCGGAGTGATTCTCCACCTGCCACAGTTCCGCAGCAGGCCACGCCTCAGCCTGCCCATTGCCGAGGGTGCCCTCCTGCGGCTGCTTCGCCCCGTGCTAAGACCATGCCGGTGTGTCAAGCCTTGCTTGCTAAGTCCTCCAGGAAGATGACGAGGCGGCCCTGACACAGACAGCCCAGAGATGTGAGGAACTGCTTCTCTTCCGGAGATGACGATGAGAGCGCCACTCCTTCCCCCGGAAGAGGGCCGGATGGAGAATCTTTTGTTTCATTTGTTCTGTTCCGTTGCTGGCCCAAGGGTAACCACATTCTCAAACAAAGAGCAGTTTGCTTTTCCTCTGGGCCATCAGGCTCCTGGGTTGACAGTGAGCGACGCGCTGCCTTCTCACTCTCGCCCACGACACCCACTATTGCCAGCGGCCAAGCGATTGCAGTTCGGGGACACAATGCCTTCCCATGCATGGGACACGTGGAGCCCTGCCGTGATGAGCCAGAACACGGTGCTTTCTGGGCTGTCCAGCACGACTTCCCACCGCTGCACCACTGCGGGTATGTCGATTGTCCCTTTGGTGCCACTCGCACGGAGTTTGGGGGCGTGGCTCATGCTGCCCAACCCGTCCCGCTGGCTCATTCGGACAGGCGACCCCCCCCCAGGTTCAGCGGCGTCCTCATGACTTTGTCGGGCATGGCTGTAAAAGATCCTCCCCTTCGGGCTTTCCCTGTCCCCCCCCCCCCCCCCCGGCATCAGGATCCTCAACTATCCCCAGCATGGCCCGCTCGTGAGAACAGTTGTTATCACAGGGACCTAGTGATCCGGCAACTCAGCCAGTGGGGACTTTGGGTCAACTGGGAAAAGAGCGAGCTCTCCCCCGTGCAGAGAATCTCTTTTTACAGTATGGAGTTAGACTCTGTGAGTATGACGGCGCGTCTCACCAACAAGCGTGCCCAGTCTGTGCTGAACTGCCCGAGTTCACTTTCAGAGGCTCCTGGGTCATATGGCATCCGCAGCCGCAGTCACACCGCTTGGACTGCTGCATATGAGACCACTTCAGCACTGGTTACACTCCCGAGTCCCGAGATGGGCATGGCGCCATGGTACAGTTCGCGTGACCATCGTGCCAACATGTTGCCACTCATTCAGCCCCTGGATGGACCTTGTCTTTCTACGGGCCAGAGTGCCCTTAGAACAAGTGTCTCGGCATGTTGGTGTCACGACGGATGCCTCCAGTGCAGGCTGGTGCGCTACATGCAACAGGCAGGCAGCCTCAGGGTTCTGGACAGGGTCTTGACTGCTTTGGCACATCACTGCCTCGAGTTGCTGGCAGTGCTACTAGCCTTGTGGCGGTTCCGGCCGCTGCTGCTTGGCAAGCACGTGTTGGTCCGCACAGTCAACACTGCGACCGTTTCATACATCACGGTTGTCTACGATCACGTCGCATGTCACAACTCGCCCGCCATCTCCTCCTCTGGAGTCAGACGCAGCTCAAGTCACTGCACGCCATCCACATTCCGGGAGAGCTCAATCGTGCAGCCGACGCGCTCTCACGACAGCTCACGTTCCCCGAAGAATGGCGACTCCATCCCGAGATGATCCGGCTGATCTGGAGTTGATTCGGGGAAGCCCAGGTAGACCTGTTGCTTCTCATGAGTCCTCGCACTGCCAGTTGTATGACTCCCTGACCAAGGCCCCCTCGGCACGGACGCACTGGCACACAGCTGGCCTCGGGCTTTATGCAAGTATGTGTTTCCCCCAGTGAGCCTTCTCGCACAGACCCTGTGAAAACTCTACCAAAATAAACATTTTCCACTTTTTTTTTAACTGTCTGTAGCTCAAAATTAGGCTAATTTTGAGCTACAGACAGTTAAAAAAATGTAAATGTTAAAAATAAATTAGTATATATAATCTGAACCCCATAGAGAATCTATGGGGTATTGTCAAGAGGAAAATGATAAACAAGAGACCAAAAAATGCAGATGAGCTGAAGGCCACTGTCAAAGAAACCTGGGCTTCCATACCACCTCAGCAGTGCCACAAACTGATCACCTCCATGCCACGCCGAATTGGGGCAGTAATTAAAGCAAAAGGAGCCCCTGCCAAGTATTGAGTACATGTACAGTATATGAACATACTTTCCAGAAGGCCAACATTTCACTAAAAATGTTTTTTTTATTGGTTTTATTTTATTGGTTTTTGTTAAATGTGAGCCAAAATCATCACAATTAAAAGAACCAAAGACTTAAACTACTTCAGTCTGTGTGCATTGAATTTATTTAATACACGAGTTTCACAATTTGAGTTGAATTACTGAAATAAATGAACTTTTCCACGACATTCTAATTTATTGAGATGCACCTGTATATACTAATTCATTTTTAACATTTAAAGCTTATATTAAATTAACAATGTGCCATGAACAAACATGAATTAACTATTAATTTTATGAATAATTAAGTTAACTTAGGATTAATAAATTAGTAAAAATGTTCATTGCTCATTGTTCATGACAATATAAATGAAAATAATCTTATGATAAACTGTCATAATAAGAAAAAGAAGAATACATTTTATTCATAAAGTGCTTTTCCAAAGCGCAAGTTAATAATAAATAAATAAATAAATAATATTGTAATTCCACATAAATAATCATATGGCTGTAGATTCATTTTATTTAAAAAATAATTTTGTTTTGTTAGAACATAATAAATCTAAACACCTTCTGTGAGACAAAATGGCAATTAGCATTCAGAGTCACGTAAATCATGTCACAGACAAGATTATATTTAACTGGCACAGAATGTGTTGCATGTATAGATCACGTTCAGGAAGCCATGCATATTGAAGTGACATGATAACATGCCTATTATACCATGCAAAAAGCCATTAACATATTTAAAACAAATTATATACAAATCCTATATGAATATGCATGGATTTACACACCAAATCATCATATAGACACCAAAACACACACACATAGTAATGTAGTAGCCCTATGGGAGAAGTGCTCATATGTCAATAGTCTCTTCTTGCAGGCAAGAACCAATGTCAACTTTGCCCTTTGAGGTCCCCGGTAGGTCTAAGCTTTGCTGACCTGTTTTTAAGCCCCCCGACCCCCTCACAAAATGCATGCACACATACAGAAACATGTCCACACACTCCAACACATGTTTTATTATATTAAATAAAATGCAAGTATTAAGGAAAAGCCGTTTTTAAGGTCTAAACAACATATGCTCACCTCTACACTCTCATTCACTTCAATTCCTCCATCGTTGTCGTCATCTAGCTGCTTGTGAATGTGCCGAAGTGCCTCTAAACTGAAGCGGTCGGCTTCATTCATACATGGAGGGATGACTGTCAAACACGGGTCTGCAGGGAGAGACACACAATTACCCTTTGTCCAGCTAAACTCAGCTTTAAACTTCTGCTTTTCTATGTAGTTCAATGCAAGTTTATTGCATATCCAGACAGACAACTGATGATAATTATTATTTATGGCAATTTTAAGGTCTTAAATGCCTGTCAACAAGACTTTCTATTGTTGATTAATAAATAATAATATTACTCATCAAGTTTTTATCCTGTCTAACTGTCTGTACGTGCAAGCATGTGCATGTCTGGGCATCTGTAGGGCTCTGTTTACGGTGGTGTGCTTTCACCGGTCTTGACACGCTTATTAGGTTGCAGGCTGTTGATATGGCAAATGGTGCTGGTATTCGTTTGGATCACATCCTTGCTCTTATTTAAGAGAAGACGTGTGAGGAAAGAAGAATCAATCCAGTTTTAACAAAACTATTACTGGAAAAGAGCCCTGATTGGATGAAACATCACACATCACTGAGGAGCCCAGAAACATTTTCCCAGAGACAGACGCATTACACAAAAATAGCCCCACATATATGCTCTCCTTAAAATATTAAGGCAGCTGTATCTGCTTGCATAAAGACAAATGTATACTATATGAGAAGAGTGTGATGTTAGGCAAGAAAAAAAGAAGAATTTTAATTTTTGAGTGATTTATCCCTTTAAGTAGGACTAAACTACATATGAAGAGTTCATTTGCAAAAAACACACAAAAAAAAACATAACTGATAACTCAGATAATTCAAAAATCATGTTTTTTGTTGTTGTTGTTATTGTTTTTTTATCTTGCATTCCAATTAATATCAATCAAAATTTGGACTGTTTTGATTAAATAATAATAACTAAAAAAAATAAAAATACAGCTAACTAACACAATAAAAAGATCCCCAAAAAGAGTTATCTGTTTTTGTAAATAAACTCTTCATATCTATATGCAATTTCATAATTCTATTGTCTTATATGGTTAGAAATATGGTTAAAGTGTACTGTTGATTTTACTGAGAAGCATATTTGGTAAACCAAAAATATAATTTAAGGTCATTTCTACTGAAACTTGAAAGTCCTGTATTCAAAAATATTTCTAATGACACATGATGAAGTTGCAATTTAGTACATTTAAAGTATATTTAATGTATATAAAAGTATACTCTACAGTTAAAATTATAAGCAACTTTACATGTGCTTTAGTATGTTAGTCAACACATCTAAATAAGAGTACTTCTTTACATAACAACAAAAGAAAATGAAAACAATGATTTAAAGTGTACTTTAAAGTAAAACATTTAATTTGAAATTACAAAGTGCAGTTTTTAAAAGTGTGATAAGAAACAGTCATTAAAGAATGCTCTCTTTAAGTACACCTAAGAAGCCTCTTATTTCAATAATATTATTTTATCTGCAAGTATTTTATAAGATATTTAAGATTTGATATACATTAACATGTGCACATTCAGTACAATTAAGCACTTTTTTTTAAAGGTTGGCACTCTGAGCTGAGGGTCCCCAGACACCAGTTTGAAACACGTTAACTGAATAAAAAGCAGAGAGCTACTGTATCACCAACAAAAGTGACTGAAGTCCTTCCTTTTATGGCTGAACAACCTCAAAATTCTGCTAAACAAAGTTAAACAAAAGAAGGTCTTCTCTTAGTATTTGCATTATGCCTTGCATGTGTTCCCCCATCTGATTGCATAATCATATTTGTGTACCAGATGTCCCTGTCCACACTTATTTCCATGTGTGGTTTTTTGCATAAAACTCACTTGTGCTGATGGGTGACATCACAGGAACACTGTGACCAGAAGAAATGCCTAACAATTACAAATGCTGCAAGACAAACAGCGGAGTCCACACAGAATTTGGGATTGTATAAAAAAAATGGAAATAAAATGTTTCTAGATTGTGAAAAATGAAAACTAATTTGCATGACCATCAGGTTTCACACACACAAAGTTAATGCATCTGTCACAAAAGGCATTTTGTAATTTGTGTCAACTCTTCTGTAAAATTGTATGCTGATCATATGAAATGACAAATTGTATTAAATTAAAAAAGTGGCAAAAATCTAAACAGAAGCATTTCCACTAGTAGTCTCATACTTTCGTAGTCCACTGTATGCATCATTAAAAGGAATAAAAACAGAACACTTTTAACAGCATATTCAGATCAGCAAAGAAAACAAAAAGACTGCTGATGATGTGCAGGTCACTTTTCATTCAGATGACATTAGTAAACTTACTACAAAGCTCCCCTAGCACATACAGCATGTGGCAGGAAGTGACACGGTGAGGGGGAGAATAAACACAACCAAGTAGCAAAAATAGTTCTGGAGAACAAAATGAGTGAGTGTAAAATTAGGACACGCAAAGTTATAAATTGATTTTTGTTTCCAGTTGTCAGGAACTGGTTTATCTAAATGACAAAGAACAGTATGGGCCTCCATGAGAAATATATACACACATACACAAACTCCTTAAATGAAGGCACGAGTTACAGATAAAAGATGAACCGCCACTTGCTAAAACATTCTTTCCATGAAATAAAGGGAAAAGTAACTCTCAAACAATCTTCAAAAGCCACTTTTAACTCAAGCTATACGAATGACAAGCCACACATCCCCTCTGATCAATTATTTTTCAGGATATTTTTAATGGTGAAGGAAATCAGTTGCAGTTCTATTTGAAAAGTCACCCAAAAAAAAAGAGGTTAGTATATAAATGCCACATCCAAGAGCGATCAATGTCTATACATAAATAAATATAGCATAAAAAAAAAGAAAAAGAAACGTCTCTTTTTCAGGATACTGTATTTATTATTATTGTATAATTAATATTGTATAATTGTGTACTGTATTTTAATAAAATAATACATTATTTATTCAAACTACTAAATAATAAGCATGCTGATACACTCTCAAATGTAATTTGAGAGTGTATCAGCACTTAAATTGCATAGAAATTTGAACACCCTCAAATGTAATATTTGTACTTTATTCACCCACTAAAATAATACCTTTTCTCAAAGATGTGTGGCCCCTTTAATCTAACTGGTAATTACAGAATTGCAAGAGAGAAGCGGCGTGTAAAGTAAATGCATACTGTGAGAGATACGATATGTGCTTGGGACACTTGGATTACAAATGGATGTCTCGCTCGGACAGGAGAAGGCACTAGGCCTGGGCGATAAAACGGTATCGATATTTATCGACGGCACACCGTCATTGATAACGATATAAAAAATGTTCGATATAGTGCACGATATAGGCACGTACTATGAGTGATGCAGACAGCTCACACAAACACATGCTGAATTGAGTGCTGTGCCTGCCTGTGATGAGGAGATTGTGAATAAAAACATTAATATTAGTCGAATTTAAAATAAACATTTGCATTTGAATGCAAAAATGGTACAATCGAATGTTAGGAGTGCGTTCCAGAAAAGGAGACAGAGCTTGTGTGCCATTACAGTAGGAATGTGCAGATTGAAGCTGAAACTCAAGACATGAGTGACTAACCACCAATGCAGAGGGAGACTGAGTCTTAATTAGAGCAGATACTTATCTATGATTGTATAAGCAACACTGAAGATCAGTTTTTGCGCTAGGAGAAGAAAAGAGAGCAGTGTGCAATCATGAGAGGGAGAAGAACCACACATCATCCGTTTGTGTTTGCAGATGATGTGTAGAGATAATAGTCACACATGCTGTTGACTAACTGACAGTCAAAAAGTCGAAGGGGTCACAGCAAGTCGACTAAGGCCAGGCAACTCTCAATGGACCCTTTTTTTTTACAGATTGTGATGATGCATTTCAACGGTCATCAGCATCATAAATCTTGTTTGGTTTATATATATATGTACATTTATAACACTATTATCATATTACAAAAAAAAAAAAAATTCATATTGTGTCCTTTGCAAGAAAAATGTAGTAGGTTTTTAATTTACAACAACAGCTGGAAATCAATGACAACTCAAATGACAACATATGATGCAAAACATTACTGGGTGTTTATTCAATTCCAAGTTGAATTTCCAACCTGTTCTAACTGATGATTTCAAGATTATTCATATACAGCTAGCTACATAAAGTTAATGCAGTGACATTTAAAGAAACAATCTGTGACAACAATATTCAATTTTTAAAGAAAGAAAGAAAGAAAGAAAGAAAGAAAGAAACTATGCAAGATCAATGGTTGTAAGATTTAGTCCTATAAACATTTAAAATAGTGGCACAACAAGTAATCGTCTAAAAAGTGCGTTACAATGTGTGAACCGCTGGTTTAGGTGTTACTTGTGTTTGCATACATTAGAGGAAACCTGTACATTGAGAACAGTGAATATAGAGTGTCTGGTGGTCTCATCCTGAAATGAAATGGGGCAAACAAGCAATAGGCCTACTGTAGATCACTGCCAAAACATACACACTGTGTGAACAGTAGTCTAAATATAAAAACGCATGCCTTGTTAACATTTGTTTACAATGAAAGCATTTGGTTATTGTGATATTTGCATTTCTGTTGACATTGGCACTATATTTCTTCAGCAAATATCATAAGAGAGACAGCTCTTGTCAAACAGTTTTTTATTAATCTGACTTCTCAAAACAGCGTCATCATGAATATTGTAAGTAGGCAACCCTCTCAACTTCATGTTTAAGAACTGTGAGTTCCTGTTTGTTTGGAACCACTTCCTGCGACCTCTCCCACAGGTTCTCTAGAATGCCACCACCACAAACATGACTTTTAGCAGTTAAGCAGGGAAAGACATCATCAAATATGATCAACAATAGTACTAGAGCAGTGTGGTATAGCTCTATTACACTGGCATAACCAGACCTTTAAAAATCTCCACAGTTTTACTCCTTTTTCAAATTTCCATTTCAGCTTTACAAAAGGCATACATCCAGGAATTTCTGAACAAATTTTCCCCAAGAGCATCTGGGCTTTATTTTCAAGTTGTTGAAGAAGTTTTGCCACTCATCCAATGACTTCATCAGTGGTCTGATG